TCACATTAAGAGAAAAATTAGAAATCAATTATGGTTTAATACTTCATTATTTTTACATTTTGTCAAGACGGGAAGTGTCTTAAAAAAGCGAAGTAAATAATTTTGAAATACGGAGTATATAGAAGCGGAGTATACATTTACGGAGTACATTATTATTGTTTATTTCTGCATCCTGACATTTACCTACCCAAGACATCATAGAACTTAATAGGCAAAGGAAGGTAAATGCACCATTTTTATTTAGTGCAAATCAAGTCCGAAAATATAGAAAGAAAAAAGAATCAAACTCAAGTATGTGAATAGTAAATATACGGAGTTTAATTTAGATTAAAATTAGAGAACAATAAGTTGCTAATTATAAAAAAATTCTTAGGCCACGGGATCGAGCTAGCTTTTAAAGTTTTGGTTGAGGCATCATCCTTTTTTTCTTGTTAACCAAAAGATCACGATTCAAAAGTCAAGTACTCAACGCTACGTTGTCTTTAAAATATTACGATTCCACATGAAAGGCTTGAATCGGTCACTGAAAATGGCTATAATCATAAATTTAAAGGGAGAAAGACTAAAGTAGAACTAAAACATTGAAGATATACTAAAATAGGACCTCCATGTTTTTATTGCCGAAATAGGACTTACATTACCAAACATGGTCATATACATTACCAAGAAAGTATAGTAATTTGCACATTTACACTGCCACATTACCACAATGCAAAGTCACATTACCACAATGTAAAGTCCTATTCCGAGGAAAAAATATGAAAGTCCTATTTTGGTACTTTTCATTATATTTTAGTCCTATTTAGGATGATTTCTAAAACTTAAACTTTCAGTTGAATTAGTTTCTTGACATTAGCTGTGTTTGAAAAATAACTTTTCAGATAGCTTTTGACATATTTGACTGACTTTGGATTTTTTGACTGAGCAAACAACCAAAATCATTGTTTGGCTAATGACATTTTCACTTAGCATTTTGATCCGAAAACCCAAAATCAGAAAAGCCATGGAGAGTAGTATTTGGACTTGGCTATTAGGATAATTAATTTTTTTAAAAAATCATTTTTCTTGAAAGATATTCTATAATATATGTAAAAAATAAAAATAAAAGTTAAAAAATTCAAAACAAAAAATTTCAAATTTCAAAAAAATGAGATGAGAAAATAAAAAGTAAAAATTATTAAAAAGTTGTATATTAATAATTTTTATGAATTAAATGAAAGTAAAATTTAATACTCCATATAGTAAAGATTTATTTTTTACATTAAAAAAACGAAAAACAAATATCGTGTGTGTGCATTAGAACAACTATTTTTAAACATCTAATTTTACCAAACATTTTTAACGATCAGTCAACTCATCCTGCCGGTCAAGCCAGTTAAACTAAACAGTCATTCATAACAACTAGCACGAACTGCTAACAGTCATTGGCCGTCAGCCAACATCCAAAGAAGGCCATCCCATTATAAGTACTCTCGAATTTGATCTCTAAATTCAAATATAAATGCATTGACATACTCAAATTATACTCCTTATTATGTTTCTTTGCTTATTTTAATGAATTATTACACAAAATACGGAATAAAATAATTATTACGTTTTCAAATAATTGGTGTAACACTTAAATACATAAAATTCTTTGTGAAGTTAAGTGATATACAGAGTAATAAGTAGAATTTTATATATTTGAAAATTTTTGAATTTTTTAAAATTTGAATTTATTATATTTGAATTGATCTGATTATATTTGAAAATTTGAAAATATTTGAATTATATTTTGAAAATTTGAAAATATTTGAATTATATTTTTTTATATATTTGAAAATATTAAAATTCTTTGTGAAGTTATGTTTCTGAATTTTTGAAAATTTGATTGAATATTATTTGATTTGATTGGTTTTGATTTGATTGGATCTGACCCGACTCGACCTGATCTGGTTGAATTGATCTGATCATATTGAATTCGATCTGAGCTGATTGGATCTGATTTTATCTAATTAGATCAAGTATAAATGAATTTAAATTTAATTTAAACTAAACTTTAAATTATTACAAAAGTTAATAGTTTTAAAGTATTACGCTTCATATATACATAAAAAAAGTAAAATAAGAAAGTCAACTAATCATTGATATATTTAAATTTTTTTTGAAATATTAAACATCTTTTCAATGTCACTACTTCTGTAGTCTTTGTGAAAACTAAACAATCGGTATTAAAATAACCTAACATTAAAAAATATGGATGTTATTCTACAAAAGTATCACATTCTATATGCATATTACATAATAATATATTTCATGTTACAAGTTAAAGATCATATAAAATCTTAAACACTAATATTCCTTTCACCTCTATCAATTTTGTCATAAACTCACCCTTGTGTATATATTATACCATCTTAAAATTTAAAAGTAAGTATTTTTAAGTACAAAATATTTATGGTTTTGAAAGCTATGTTATAATTATTTTATAAACAAGTATTTTAAAACAACTCTTTTGAAAAATACAACTTTTTAAGCTTTAACATTACTTGCATGCATCATTCCTACAAGTTAAGCAATGATTAAAAATAATGATTTGTAGTTGAAATATAATAATATTAATAATGGAGTAATATTTAAAGTTATAATATTAATTAAGACTTAATTAGGTATAGCTTTAAATAAAGTAATTCGATTTGATCAAATAATTGTAATTATTATTTAATCCTTGAAAAAGCCGAATCCCATCAGTCTTGGTATTCGTCCGTGTGCATCGTGCGTCCCAAGTAACACGTGACATAAATATTTTATTTGATAAAATAATAATTAACCAAAATTAAAAAATAAACAAAAGTTACAGAGGCACATATAAATGGACTAGAAAAATTGGAACCCTTCTTATTTTGGAGTTTGAGGTAGGGGTGAGTTCTGTTTTTTCGGTTTGGTTCTTTCCTAAAACCAAAGACGGAATAGAAGTTAATTTGGCAGTTCGGTTTGATTCGATTTTTCAAAAAAAGTGAACGATCAATTTTTTATCCAAACACTAGAATTGCAACCCCAAATTGAGGAAGTTCATTGAGTATATATTTGTTCACATTTAAAACAACCAACGTAACCTCATAAGTTCTCATAATAAAAAAATAAAAGTCCAAGAAGTCAAGTCAACATGTAATTAAAGTTTTTATCATAATTTCTAAACTAAAACTTGCATCTTCAAAATTAAATATGTAAAAAAACGAAGTAATTTAGAATTTTATACGAAGTACGGACTACGGAGTACCTTTTAATTTTATTTGCAACATCCAAAAATAAATTGAGGCTAAAAGGAGGCTTACCATAACCAAAATACTTAAGCTTAGAAAAAGAATTTAAAAAATTAAATATGCAAAAACGAAACAACTTAAACATTTTAATCTACATAAATCGGAGGCTTAGCATAACAAAAATGGTTTTTAATTTACATTTTTAAATATTTCGGTTTTTTTAATTTACATACTCGGTATTTTGGATTTTTTAAATTTAGTTTGGTTTTCATAGTCCAGAACCAAAAATAAAACAATTTAGAAACGATTAGGTTTTTCACACTCAGTTATTGTTCTTTTAATTTGTTATATTTTGTAGCACAATCTAACCGATTTCAATCCGAATTCCAATTTGTGAAATTTGCACGGAATAGGACTAAAACATAAGTCATTTTCCAATATATGACTTAAACTTTTTTATTCTTTAAATAGAATTTAATAATGACTAGTGAGAATAATAATGTCCAAGTGATGCTGGACATTTAGTTGAATAATGACTAATAAATATGAAATAATGACTAATGGTCCTACATTGAAAAATAAAAACATATTGTCCTATATTGGGAAAATCATTATCTTATCTTTTAGGGTAAATTACCTTTCTAATTTTCGTAACCCATCCCTAGTTTGAGTTGATAAAGGCGAAGTGGAGATGCAATTGGGCAGTGCACGACAAGACATAAAGGGGATGGAGGACATCATTGAAAAACTGAGTGCTTTCATGGTGCACTTTGAGTGTATATCATTTTTGTAAATTTTCTTATATACTCTGTAATTTTTTAAAGTTTATTTTATTAAAAAAGTAGATGTTTATTTAAAAAGAAATCAACTTAAACAGGAATAAAACATACATGAAGTATCAAAATAAAAGTTTCATATTTTTATTTTAGCACTGTGATAATGTAAAGTTATAGATATGCATTTTGTTATACGTTTTGCAATGTAAATGGTCATAATTGATAATGTAAATACATTTTAACTCATGTTTGTAGAATAAAACATGAAATTTTTATCTTCTTATATTTTGAATACTACGTACTCCCTCCGTCCCAGAGTATTTGTCCACTTTCATTTTTACACACCATCCAATGCACTTCTTTAATCCATTTTATCTTGAAATTCGTATATTAAAAAATTATAGAAATTATATATTAATAAGCTATATGTTAAGACAAATTAAACAAGATCACACATGACTATATTTAGACTTACACATTGAGAGAATTTGATGAGTCAAAGTGCTTAGATGAACAGTTCCAAAAGTCAAAAGTGGACAAAAACTGGGGGACGGAGGGATATTTTATTCCTAGATTGCAATCCCGATAAACCTGTGAGTGCTGTTCGTTGCCCAGCGGATCATAGGCTGCGCCCTACCGCACCCAATCAAAACCCGACAACTAAACCTGGTACCCCATAGACCCCTCATCATTATCATCCTCTGATCCTCCCTGTTTCTCTCTCTCTCACATCTTTTTTCTTTTAATTTCGTTTCTTATTGTTTTGTCTTTCTGAAACAAATGAAACCAAAAATTGGGATGTTTTGATTGAGATTAAAAAGAGGCGTAATAGCATGAGTGTCCTCGTAGTTTACAAAAAAAAGCTCTCAAACCAGCCAAGTAAGCTTCTGCTGACTCGGTGGAGGTTTCGAAGAAGAGGAGGAAGAAGAAGAATTACAGTGCTGGTCCCAAAGCACATGTGCCGATGTTTATTCTGTAGGGGCGCCTGTGAGGGCGGGTCGGGAGCTGGGTCTTTAACTCTTTCCCCACTCTCCCACATGGAGACCTACGCGGTGGCCGGTGGGGGGGGGGAAGTATTGCGAGAATCACCGCAATAACATCCACAACACCAAGGAATGCTTCACGCTTTAGAAGGAGATACAGTGGTTGATTGCCCAAGGGCCCGTTCCTCGGGAGGACGGTGCACCTCCATTGTAGGGGGCATCAGAAGGAAGAACCTGTAGGAAGCTGGTCGAGCTAGTCGGCGTGGCCACATAAGGAAGGAACCCAGAGAAGAGGCTCATTGGCTCGGAGTGCGACAATTTGGATGACGATGAGGCACAGGGGTACCCGGTTGGATTCATCCATGGAGGAAACACCGAGGGGACTTTGTCGCCCAAAGGAAGAATTGGAAACACATGGCCTACATTGCCAAAGTCCACCAGGCACCGGCGTCAAAGCTCGGGAGAAGGGAGCAAATCCAATTCACGGAAAAGGACCTTCCGAACACACTGATCCCCCACTGAGACGCTCTTGTCGCCCAGGTGGAGATAGACAACAATATAGTGCACCGAACCTTGGTGGATACCGAAAGCTCGGTAAACATTATGTACGAGAAGACCTTCCCGGACCTTGGCCTTAATCGAAAATATCTTAAGCCGGCGTGCACCCACCGAACCTTGGTGGATACCGGAAGCTCTGGTGCTTTGATCGATGTTACTTTTGAAGCTCCCTTCTTTCTCGGAGCTTTTTTATGATTAATGTCCCTGATATCATAATAAGCACTGGGAATTTATCAATCTGGTTTACTGTATGATTTATTTTCGATTTTTGCTTTTAGTTTTTTGTGTCGATTTTGACGCTTATCTGTCGTCCGAATGTTTAGCATTTCAGACTTTGTTCACAAAAATTTGAAGGATTTTCAAAAAAAAAAACAATAACATCCAGGGGCTATCGACCCTTGGACCCCGCTACCGGGGGCAACCACCCCCAGACCCCTGCTGTGAATTTGTAATATCGTTGAACAAGTACACGCTCCGTGCCTCCTAACTCATTAGATAACGTTTATTCAAATTTTTGTCTTATATAAATACACCTAATTATACAAAAATAGCCGATGACACTAAAAATTACAAACAAGATACTTTCCCCGTTATTAAACGATGTTTTGTTTGTTATTTGCTGCCACAAGCCATTAACAACGAACCCCCGTTGTTATAGTAGTATATAGGGCTAATAGCATGGGTCCTCCCGTGGTTTACAAAAAAGACGTCAAAACCCTCTATGTTTTCAAAAATTATTTATAATGTCCCTATGGTTTCTAAATTGAGCACACATGCCCCCTTACCTATTTTTAAAGCAAAAATGACATTTATGCCCTTTTTTCTCGATCTTGAATTTTCCAATTTTTATTTTCCTTTATTATACAAATTTATAAGATAAGAATAAAATATATGCTTGTCATCTTAAATTAAAATTTTCCACAATGTCTTCTTGAAAACAAAAGTTTTTTTGAAGAATGTTACAAAAGAAAATGAAAATAAAATATTATGTACAAAGTAAAAATAATAACTGAAAAAGGTAATGAAATGAAAGAAAAATATAAAAACAACCTTTTTCTTTAACTCCGTATTTTATTTCATCTTGCTGTTCTTCCTTTTCTAAAGTCGTTAAAAATTTACTTTGCTTTTAAAAAAGAAAAAAGGTTATAATTTTTAATTAGAGATACAGTGAGTATATGTTATCTAACTTTTTATTTTATCTATTTTAATTTTACTTATAATGAAAATGTGTATTTTATTTCATTTTGTTAATTTTTCATTTTCTGTTGTAACATTTTCTAATAAGAATCATTTTTTTTGAAAATTAAATAAATGAAAATTTTTAATTTGAAAAAGAGAGCGTATATTTTATTTTATTTATTTGTATAACGAAAATTACAAATAAAATATTGAAATTTGAAGATAGAGAAAAACAAAGGGCAATAATGTTATTTTATGTCTAAAAATACGCAAGAGGGGCATCTGTGCACTATTTAAAAACCACAAGGATTTTACAAATAACTTTTGAAGTAAAGGGATTTTTAACGTTTCTTTTGTAAACCACAACGAGCATCCATGCTACTAGCCCATAGTATATGTAAATATCAAATTTCAAAAGTTGTCATTAACTACGGAGTATTTGCTAAAAAAGCATGCCATTTCTATTCCTTAAAAAAGCATGTGTGGAGTACACGCTTCGTAAAAGTTGACTCGACCAGTTTTTAATCCGAGAATCGACCTGAAAATATTGGTTACAAAAAAAGTATTACCGAATCCAAAGATAAATGAACCTGAAATGACCCCCTAAAAACGAGTCAAACTAGACAAAACCTGAACCCGACATGACCGACCTATTAATGTAAGAAATTTACAAAATATTGTATTTTAATATGGAATATAATGGAATACATATAAGATTAAGTTGTTTATTATTTTTATCATTCAATTTTAGTGTATAAAAATATACTACTTCCGTCCCAGAGTATTTGTCCACTTTCATTTTTACACACCATCTAATACACTTCTTTAATTCATTTTATCTTGTAATTTGTATATTAAAAAATTATAGAAATTACGGAGTATATATTAATAATCTACGGAGTATATGTTAAGACAAATCAAACAAGATATGCTTACACATTGAAAAAATTTGATGAGTCAAAGTGCTTAGATGAACAGTTCCAAAAGTCAAAAGTGGATGAATATAGCAGGACGGAGGGAGTACTCCGTATTTTGATACAAGTTATTTAGATATCACATACTCCGTAGTTATTACGTAGTATTTTATATTTATTTTTTTCAAAATCGATGCATGTTTGATTTTTGTTTTTTTATTACTATCCATTACATTGTTAAACATATCTAAAAAGGAATTGAACAAAAAATATTCTAAGAGGTTTAATATATGTATTGTTTTAGTGCAAAATGTAAGAGTTAATATGAATCAAATATTCTTAAAATAAATCTAATAACCTCTTGGGTCAATCCGAATTCGATGATAGCGGGTCATAAACAAGTAATTTTTAACTCGAGCATGGACTTACCCGAACCCAATATAACTCGAATTTGAAGGGATCGAACTCGAACCCAAACTGAGCGATCGATTTGTAAGCTCTAGTGGAGAACATTGTTATTGGCAAGGTTTCCATGACATTGCCCGACAATGTCAGGGATGACCCCGGGGTGCTCCGGTGCCCCGTTCCTAAAATTAACATTTTTTTACCCCTTAACTCCCCTGGACCCCGGTAAACCTCCCCCCATCCGATCCGAACACACCCCACCACTTCAGTTACACTCTACAAATTGATTTTGATTTTGGAGTCAAAATGTGGTGTATCTACATTTGTTCATGTTCACCAGAGGAGATCCCAACTCCCAAGCCATCCTGAGAGCTTTTGCCGGCGCGATTCATCTCTGTACTCTGATTCTGATGGTGACTACTACTACGTATAAGGACTGAGAGAGAGAGAGAGAGAGAGAGAGAGAGAGAGAGAGAGAGAGAGAGAGAGAGAGAGATGGGGGGAGGAGGATCGCTGATACCGGTGAGGGCATTCGATTGGAAGGCCGGACAGATGATAATGGCGGCGCTTTTGGTGATGATTGGATCTTTCTACACCGGCACTCTCTTTCGCCCCACCCCTCATTCTTCTTCCTCTTCTTCTTCTTCTCTTCAACAAGAACATCAGCTCGCTGTCAACTCGTCTCATACTCCCGCCGGTTAGTTCATTGCCAGTGCTTTCATTTTCTTTTCAATTTGTTTCTGGAAATCCGAAGAAGTATGCGTAATGTGATCATCTTTGCCATATAGTTCTTGATTTTCCCAGTACTATCTATTTTAAAAAACGTTTTTTTTCAGAAAAAGAATATAGTTCTTGATTTACCCAGTACTGTATATTTTCTTGCTCCCACTATGCTTGCTTGCTTCCTCATTGATTCGCTGCGATGCATGTTAAAACTCATGATTTCTGAGACTCTAAGCTTCTCAATTCATTTTTTTTGCATTGCCATTTATTTGAAATGACTGTGCACACTATGAATCTGGGTATACTTGCACGCAGGTAGTATGGTATTTACAAACAAAGTCGCTCTTACTTACCGAATGGTTCCACTCGGCATCCCGGAAACAGGGGTGAATGTATGCCCTCAGGAGTTCAATGAGCATATCCCATGCCATGATGCATCCTATATTAAAGAGTTGGTTCCGAAGTTAGATCTTACTAGGAAGGAAGAGCTTGAGAGGCATTGCCCTCCTCTGGAGAGGCGCTTGTTTTGTTTGGTGCCACCCCCAGTTGATTATAAGATACCAATCAGGTGGCCTATCAGCCGGGATTATGTATGGCGAAGCAATGTCAACCACTCACATCTTGCTGAAGTAAAAGGAGGGCAGAATTGGGTGCATGAGAAGGATCAGCTGTGGTGGTTTCCAGGTGGTGGAACTCATTTCAAGCATGGAGCTTCTGAATACATTCAGAGGTACATCATGGCTCTTCGAAACCATTGTTACACCTTTGTGTACTACTCCCTCCATCCCACTATTTTTGGGACATGAGGGAGTGGCACGGATATTAAGAAAAGTAAGATTGTGCAAATTGATGTTGAAAAGTAATATAAAGTAAGAATGAATGTGACACACAAAATTATGACCAAATGTGGTATGAGACAAAATAGTGGGACAGACAAAAAAGTTAAAAAGGAAGAAAAATAATAGGACATGGGGAGTATATATTAATGGGGTGTGCGTGTGCACACACCGGCAATAAGCCTATTGCATTGTATGAGTGTGAGAATTGAGATAAACATTACATCTTGAGGATCATTTGGATGTGAGTTAGAGCCAATTTGAAATATTTTTACACGGTTGATTACACCACTGTAGGTAGGTGTTGACTTAGAATGCACATTTTGTGGCAAACACAGGGAAATATTAGAATTCATTTTGCTACATTTTTTTGTTTTGTTAATGCAGATTAGGGAATATGACAACCAATGAGAAAGGGGACTTGCATTTTGCAGGGGTATTTCAAGTGCTTGATGTGGGATGTGGTGTTGCTAGTTTTTCAGCATATCTTCTTCCACTGAACATAGAGACTATGTCCTTTGCTCCCAAAGATGGTCATGAAAATCAGATTCAGTTTGCGTTGGAACGAGGGATTGGGGCAATGATATCTGCTTTAGCCACTAAACAATTGCCATATCCAAGCAACTCCTTTGAAATGGTCCATTGCTCTAGATGTCGTGTTGATTGGCATGAAAATGGTGAGATTTTACTCTTTAGTGATCTCCAACCATACATTGTACAAGTGTGGAAGCGGATAATACACACACACACACACCACGGTTCTTTTGACACACATTTTGGGTGTCATAATATGATTCCGGGGCCCTACAGTGCTCTGTTGTTCCTACCCCTAACCCACCCCACAAACCCAATCCCCTTACCTTCAAAAATGCTAGCATTTTGCCAAAATGCTTAGGGGTTGGATTTGTAGGGCGGGTTAGGGGGGTAGGACCTGGTCACATACTCAACGTAGAATCGTAAGATCCCCGAATGGCTCGGTGTTATATTAAGATCAAATGGATATTTTATCTTTTCAGCTCCAACATCTATATACCCCGTAGTAGTATTTTTTGCCACTTGTAGTGCTTGAAATGGCATTTTCATCAATTTCTTTTCGTGGTTATTGCAGATGGTATACTACTCAAGGAAGTGAATCGCCTATTAAGATCAAATGGATATTTTGTCTATTCCGCTCCAC